ACAAGTGGTATCAGAGCATTGAAGGTTGTGGCATTATAACACAACAAGTGGTATCGAAGCATTGAAGGTTGTGGCATTACGATGCACAACAGGAAACGTCGTGGGCCACGGGCGAAGATGATAGAGATGAGAGAACTGTGGTTGTGGTCCATGTCTCACCGCCATCTGCTGGGCTTTACTGGAGCATGAGCAACGAGTTTAGCTGTTGAAGCGGTCCATGGAAGGAGAAGATGCAACGATATTGATGAAGAAGAAGCTGACATGGTTGGGGGCATGGATTTGCTGGAGGTGTCAAGGCGCATAGTGACACAATATCTACCACTAAAAAGTGTGAAAAGATCTGAAAATATTATTACTCAAGTAAACAAAATAGAGTTAAGAATGAGAAATAAAGTTAGAATGGAAGGTTCAATCTTCATTAATATTCATAAAGTTTAAATAGAATACAAGCTACCAAATAATACCTACCAATAACAAAATATAAACTAACTAAATCTAACTGCTAATCAAATAATATTAAATTACGAATATATTGACTAATTCAAACTAGCAATAAGTTGCATTAAATTATGACAGTCTCCCTTAGTGCAAGCTTATTTCTCAATAACTCCGAGAGCCTTATGAAAAACTTCAAACTTCACTTTGGCAAGTGTCTTAGTAAATATGTCTGTAACTTGCTCATTAGTATGTATTTTCTGCAATTCAATATCAGATAACACTTACTACACCATGAAATTGCAGCAAAGCCTACTGTAAAACAAAAATCACTAGGATTTTTATTCAGGTCAGGTTGAGCACCCTATCCCACTGGTCCAGAGTTATTGAAACTTGGTCCAGCTACACCGGAAGAAACATGGCAGCACTTGGTAGGGTCCCTATGGTTGGAGGAAATCTAGGTCCTAATGGTCCTGGTGGAACAACTAACATACTCAATATCAATACCACGAGCACCAGGCCAAACTGGAGGGGAGAATGGTGGGACAAAAACGCCTAGAGAAACTGGTGGGCCTAGACCGGGTGACATGCTAGGAGTAAGTGGCTGCATTGGTCTGGGCGGAGGAATTCCTAGAGGTTCAAAAGGAGATCCTATCATTGACAATGGAATTCCACCCTGTTGACTCTCTCTCCCTGTAGGTCTTCCTCGGCCTCCTCTCCCTACTCTATTTCCATTCATTCCTTCATTCCTTGCTTTCTGCCTTCTTCCCTTCCCTCCATGAAAATCAAAGTCGTCCCTCCATGAATTTTGATCCTTTTGATTGCTCCAATTCTGATGAAAGCTTTTCCACCGTTGTTTTGGTTGTTTCAAATTGATTTTGGTTTTTCCTTGCAATGTTGAGGGCTTGAACTTCAGATTCTCTACCGTAATTGAGCTCATTTTCAGTTTTTCAACAAGGGAGAGTGNNNGCTTTGTTCTCTTAAATAATCCATCTCAATTTGTGCAGACTCAACAAGGTTACTTCGGGTTTGGTCAGATTCAGGCACCATGTTCAGCTGGACCTTGAGCCTCCCTCTGAACTTCATTCATGGCGGATGCCAATGCAGCAGCATCCATTGCGTGCTGCTTCTGAACAGCTTTGAGTTTGGACTCCCATGCTCGATCGCGATCTTGAGAAAGTTTGTACAGTTCTTGAACACGATCTTCCTTAGAAGCTGAGAGCTCAAGCACCTACTATTGAGATTCTTCAAACTTTGCATACATATCTGATAGTTATTTCTTTGCTTCTTCTGCTTCCTGTTGGGCTTGCTTTTTGTGTGATTCAAATATGCTCAGTTGATCACTTGTTTTCTTTAGTTCCTCCTAAAGTTGAGAAAATCGTGATTCCAATTCAGCCACTTTGTTGTGGCCCTTTACTCTTCTTTTGATAGTGTGAACGAACATCTGATATAAGAGTTTCGTTTCCAGCTGCATGATAAGAACAACTAGAATCAACAATCCATTCTTCATTGTAGTCTATAAAGGCATGGGCATCTGTAGAAACATTATCTTGATATACAACTGAAGTGACTTGCTTAATCAAAGCTTCCTAATTAGAAAGCAAATTCTCCAATTCAATAACTGTACGTTGATTTGCCCACCCTTGTATTGAGGAAACAAAGGGTATACAGTCTTTTCATAATCCATGAATAAGACAACACCGTAATCGAGCATATCTCACTGGTTTCTCAGCATCTAATTCTAAAATTTTAGAACACAGATTTTTCACTTTCAAGAAATATTCTTCAACAGAGAAATTACTTTGAGCTACCACAACTAGTTCGTTCTCTAGAAATTGCAATCGAGCTGTATTTTTCTTAGTGAACAACTTTTGAAGTATTTTCCACACTTGCTTTGGTGACTTTAAATCACGAACATGATCAATATACTCCTTGCTAATCAAAGTTCACGAACATGATCATTATATCTTAAACATTCTGTGGAGTATCTTCTGGAATTTCTGTGTCATCACCTTAAATTAAATCCCACAAATTTTGCCCAGGTAAACACTTTCACCATACATAACTTCCAATAATTATAATTATTGCCAACAAGCTTTTCTATAGCTATACCCATAAAAGCACTTTCACCATTCATCTCGTTGAGTAATAATATCAAATCTTTGATTACCAACTTGACTCTAATACCAATATCTACCCCTCAAAAGTGTGAATAGATCTGAAAATATTATTAATCAAAACAAAACAGAGTTAAAATGAGAAATATAATGGGGATCGAAGGTTCAATTTTATATTCAACATTTAAATAAGATACAAGCTACCAATTAATACCTGAAAAAAAAAAAATAAACTAACTAAATTTTGAGAACAAAATAAAATATACTACTAATCAAATCATAAATGAAAAAATATTAATTGATTATGAAGTTGTAAAATATATTTCATAACTAATATATTATCAAAATATTAACGAATTATAAATATCTCGACTCATTCAAACTACTAATAAGTTATCTTAAATTCTGACACATAGTCTCACCAAAATCTGCTGTCGTCCGTTGCTGCAATCAGGGCGCCGGTTGTGTCGCCTTTGGTTGTCGCTTGTCGGATAGATGAGTGGGGTGGTGGTGCTTTTGGCTTAAAGAAGAATATGTTTCCTTTTTCCTATTCTTTTGCCAAGAATATGTTTTTGGATAAGGAATAATAATAATAATAATAATAATAAAAGTTATGAATATATATATATATATATATAGTCTTAAATTTCTCAAATTAAACTTCAATAATAAATCTCATAGGTCCTATCAAAAGAATTAATGCCAGAATTAATTAGGACATTAAACCACAAGTTATATTTATCCTATTCAAAATCACTTCAGATTATTTAAAATTAATTTTTAAGATATAAAAATCACATTTTAAAGTGTAAAATCAAATATAGAACGATAAAAATAATTTTAACAATTTCAAAATTACTCACAAAAATATATTTAATCTATAATAATAATAATGATTTTGTGCGATCTCTCACGCTATGTTACAGAACTGGGACAAATTCAATTTTTAATTATATAATTTCACATTTACTTTTTATATTTTTTTGGTTTGAAACAATAGTAACTTAAGTTTAGGGAGTATTTGTAACCGCTCAAACCACTGCAAAACAGATATTATTTGTTTAGCGTCCAAGCTCACGATTTTGAAATGCAGCTATTAGAAAGAAATTTTTATACCTTAAAGAATGTTTCGTTTTCGTTCTCAATCGATTGGGACTGTTTAGTATTGAATAAAACATTACATTAATGTTAGATTTTTGTACTTTTTTTAGTATAATAAATATTGAATGTTTCATTATATTCGAAGCAAGTCTCTACTAAATGAATAGACAGGACATACAATTTCATGTCTAGAAATGTCAAATATAAAGACACTCACGTTATAAAAATAGTATTTAAATTTATAAATATAATTAAAAAAAGTTTATATGGATTTCTTCATCGTAAAAAAAAAACATAAAACAGTTGGGAAAATAGTGTATTATTCAGTTTTAGAATTGGAAAATCAAAATAAAGAATCTGATTTTCTTAGGTTAACGGTTGAATCTGATTGGTGAGAATTGGTGATTGCAGTGTTCCTTTATGCAGCAGAATATCTCTCGGAATGCCACGTGTTCAATTATTATGGCGAGTACAGCGCTTTTTGCTATTTACAGAAGACTAACTCTAGTGGCTGAGAATTCATCTAAATTCAAAGCAAGCCGAAACCACCAATAAACGCCGTCAATCAACATCAAAGCAAACGGCGTTAGTTAACGGTAGTAGTTTTGAGGTCTCAAAGAAGCTCATGACTTCGCAACAGCTGCAGCCGCAACGTACCCTCTTCCCTCCGCGATTAACACTGACGAAAGAGAGAAAAACATAACCTTGCTCTCTGATAATCACCGGAATCTTTGTTTGGAGGCTGAGATCACGCTTCCAATTACGGCAACTTAGGTTTTCGGTGATTTTCGACTTCTTTTCTGTTTCGTTGATTTCTTGTATGGCTTCGGAGGACGTCAAACGAAGCGAATCGGCTGTTTCTACGATCGTAAACCTGGCAGAGGAGGCGAAGCTTGCGAGAGGAGGCGTCAAAGCACCTAGTT